TGTCATATGCATTCTTTAGGTCAAGACCAATGTGCCCTATTTCTTTAAAAAAATTTTTAAAAATATACATATTAAAAATAATAAAAGTCCATCAACAACTAATATATATGTAAATTAATTAACTAATATATATGTATATATATATTGTTGATGGACCTTTATTTTATTCATTTATTTATATGTGGTACTGAGAATCAGACCCAGTGCCTCACACATGCTAGGCAAATGCTCTACCACTGAGCCACAACCTCAGCCCTATTTCTTTGTTTTTATCAATATTTACTTTCTATAGTAGTTTTTATGTGTAGAAAGTACCTAGTATAAATTGTTCCCAAAACATCATGGTTCTTTATGTCTTAAATTATCAAGGCTTCTTGTTCTCTCTCTCTCTTTTTTAATAGAGATAAACAAGTAGATGAAGATGTTCAATGTTCTTTCTTCATCCACCTCCAAATTAAAGAATCATTACTTTTCTTATATGGGCTAAATTTCTCTTCTTATATTATTTGGTATATTCTTAGCAGTAAATGTCTCCCTGCTGCCCAAATACTCAAAATAAATCACCCATAGATATGTCATACTGCTTGAAATGTGACTAATCCTTCAACAATAATCTCTTTTTAAAGTGGGAATCGACTAGAAAGTTATCTCCGTGGGGACAGGAGAAAATGAATGAGGAGGCACTTTGTATCCCATCAGGCCTCTGTGAATATTGATGGACACTGTATTAGGACAGGAGAGGAGAGTGACACGTGTGGAGTGACACATATGGAGTGACCTATGTGGAGACAGGAAGCCCACGCTGAAGTCCACTTGCTGCTGTGTGTCCCTCTGCAAGTCCCTCAGCTTCTTTCAAAATGGGTACCACCACTAAAATGGGAATTGTAATTTACTTGTTTGTTAAGGCTGTTTGGGAGATTGGGATACTTGATTGATTCAAATATTTTGCAGGATAAATATTTATTAATTAAAGGAATTTGTAAAATGGTATAGTATAAAATATGAGATGCAGTCAACCATTTGCAACTGTTTAATCCATAGCACTGGCTCATTCAAACAGATGTTTTCCATGTGAACCCCACTACCCAAGAAGAGGTAAGATTCTCATCACTAGAGCTGCTTTTATTGAGGAGATTATGGTCATAGATATGCAGGGATTATTTACATATTGGAAAGAAGTTTAAAGATTTTCCAAATATTCTATGATCCTATGGTATTTCTGGAGAAGAATACACATCCCTCAGAAATTCTGACAGAAGAATGTGTCAGCTCTGAAAAAGCCAAATGAAGTCATGAGGGCAGAAGGGTTTTCTTATTCAGTCAGCATTGGGACAGGATTGATCCCAGTCTCTAGTGGTCTAACAGTTAATAAAAACAAACTGTTCTCATATTCTATATTTGCAGCTAGATAAAATCTTCACAGCATAAGAATAGGAGTTTGATATGGAGGGGGTTCATGATACCCCCAAACTTAACAGTAGGAAGTACATATAGCTATTTATATTTGTGACTTGGACAGGGCTGATGCTTTACTTGGTGTCAGCTGATGCAACTCAACTTGGGTTACCCCCCATTTCCAACTCTTTCTCTCTTATGGCTATCGAGCTGTTGCTTGCAATATCAGTTAGAGGGGAGTCCTGAGATCCTCAGTGGTCTCCTGGGAATTTCCTATAAGCTTATAAGAAGACTTCCCTCACAGCTTTAAGGTGGAATTGCCAGAATCAAAGTGAGTCTCTAAGACCACTGTTCACTTCTATTGTATCAAGCAGCCATGGAGCTCAGAATCATGGGAAAGAGACATAACCCTCCTCCCCTCTCAATATGGAGTGTATGCCAAAGAATTTTGGGACTTTTTAAAGTTGTTCATGGATATTTATTTATTTATATGTGGTGCTTAGAATCAAGCCCAGTGCCTCACATGCTAGGCAAGCACTCTACCACTGAGCTACACCCCAGCCCCTTGGGAACATATTTTTAAAATTTCTGCAGATAATGCAAGAGGGAACAGAGGGTAGAAGAGCATTAAGTTTTGGAGGACAAACCTGAGTTGGTGCCATTAGCAGAGGAGAGGTTTTCATCTAATTTTCCAAGAAACAAATTCAAAACATTAACAATTGAACAAGTTAGGGCCAATGTAGATTTAGGAGAGAGGAAATGGGATGGCGCCAAACACATAATTGTACAACTTTTGAATTTTATTTGGTTTTATCTTGACCAAGTGGGTCCTGGGTTTATTAATTATGTTCTTTAATCCTAGGGAAATTTTAAGATTTTCTGTTGCTTCCTTTTCATTATTTTTCTTACCCTACAAATTAATCACTGAGTGTTTTACAATAGATTTTGCATATTAATAATTATAAATTGAATGTGATTGCTATATGAAAGTATTCTGCAAATACCAAGCTTACTGTCCATTTGTATAATTCTATACATATGAAAATTTCTTTGACATTGTAATTATGTCACTTAATTCTCATGCAGTCATTGTGAGGTGAGCTGTTTTCATTAATAACAGTCTTTCCAGATTAAATGGAGAGAAAACCACTTGCACGTGAGCCATGCACATTAGTTTGGAGTAAAACAGAGGTCCTCACTTGGTGATATGCATTTTCCCTTCTGATATACCTGATGAATAATAATATCACATTTAAATGGCTAGGATTTTTTCCCTGCTTTTATTGCTCTTATTCCTGTGTTTCAGCCAGGAAATGCTCAGAACTGTCTCAGAGGCCTAATTTTTTATAGCTTTCCCAATCTGACAGTTGGAAACTTAGAGGGAACATTATCACCAGTTTGATAGGGGCCTTTGACATCTGGGCTTGATGAATGGGATTCCACCCTGGGTGAAATGGAGAGGATCAGTCAAATCATCTGCAAACACAAATTTAATTCCCAAACCACTCTAGCAGAGCAACCTAACGTGGAGCTGAAGTTGCAATTTTAGAGACACGAGCAAACTTTCTTCCTCCACCTCCCTCTAAAATATCTTTCCTATTAAAAAGATGGATTCTTTCTATGCCATGTTAACTGGTATTTGGAGAAATTGTTAGAGAACCATTAAAAGCTGACACTCTAAAATGTTAAATATCAAATTATGAAACTAGGAAAAAATTAGAAAAACAATCTGATGAAAAGATATTCTAATTTTTAGTATTTAGTATTTTTAAAGTTTAGTAATTATTTAGTGTTTTAGTGATTTCTTGGCATAAAAGCTAAGGAAGAAACTATAAAAAGGATCGACTGATTTAGATTTATAAATTCTTTAAAAACTTCAACACTGAACAAGGTATTAAAAATTAGTACAGCTGGGAGCAGTTGTTCACACCTGCAACCCCAGTAACTTGGGAGACTAAGGCAGTAGGATTGCAAGTTCAAGGTCAGCCTTAGCAATTTAGTGAGGCCCTAAGAAACTTAGTGAGGCCCTATCTCAAAATTTAAAAAATATGACTGGAGATGTGACTCAATGGTAAATCATCCCTGGGTTAAATCCATAGTGCTGCCTCCCCCGCCAAAAAAAAATTAGTGCAAAAATAAAGTTGGAAAAACATCTCTTCATTTATGTCAGAAAAAATTTAATACTCTAAATATACTCAGTACTTTTCTACACAAACAGGAAACATTTAAATTCACCATAGTCCTTTGACCATCGCAGCCTATGGTCACAAGACCAAAGTCGTCATCATCATCATCATTGGCAGCAGCAACACTAATCCATCACAGCTGACACTGGACATGTGTCCTTGACCTGGCATTGTTCTAAGTACTCTGTGAACTCATTTAATTTTTCCAAGAAACTCTTGAGAGAGTACAATGGACTGAATGTTTATGCTCCCCCCAAATGTGTATGTTAAAGTCCTAACCTCTCAGGTGATATTATTAGGAGGTACAGCCTTTGGCAAGTGCTTTGGTTAAGACATGATCTCATATAAGACCCTAGGGAGATCCCCTACCTCTTCTGCCACCTGAGGTACTGTGAGAGGATGGTGGCAGTTCAGTGGACCCTCATCAGGCAAGGGCTCTCTTATTTTCCCCATTTTGTAATTATAAATTGGAGATTAAAACAAAAAGAGGTCACCATCTAATTTGCCCAGCATTATGTGGCCAGGAAATGGCAGAGTTAGGATTCAGACTCAGAGTCTCCAGCTTCAGAGGGTGGGCCACTTCATTTCTTCCCTTAAGAGGCAAGAACAGAAGCCTTAAAAAAATAATCAATGGGCTAATAAATGTATAGATGTATGGTCAACCATACTGATAAACTAAAAATTAAAGCAATAATAAGATGTCATCTTTGCTAAATTATCAAGTTTCTGAAAAAAACAAACACACAAACTAGCAAACAAGGCAAGAGTGCAGGGAAATGCTTCACCAGAAATAGAATGGGTTCATGTTTTTAAAAGTTCACAATAAGCCTTCAGTTTAAGCATACCTTTTTTTACAGTTTTAATTTAAAAAATTTACTGCAGACAATATTCAGTGATTTACATAAAACTACATGTTCAAGGATAATCATTACAGCATGCAGTGAGCCTGAGGAAAAGCTCAGGAATATGTTTGATTATTTTTTTATGTGGTGCTGAGGATCAAACCCAGTGCCTCACACAAATGAGGCAAGTGCTCTACCACTGAGCCACAATCCCAGCCCAGGAATATGCATTTTGATAAACTTGGCAGCTAACTCTGGTGTTGGAGGTCAGACTGTGACATAGTGGACCTGCAAAAGCCAAAAACAAACAAAAAACCTCCAAACAAAACAAAAACAAAACAAACCTACAAATAACAGCAACAAAACAAAACAAAACTTTGCCAGGCATACCGGATCATGTCCTTGGCACTGTGATGGTCTCAGGATTGAGTTCCTTTATTATCAAAATTCTGTTTCTCGTAGGTACTTGGGGATGATTATATCACGTGCCATACACATACTGTAGTATAGGGGTTAGGAGGAAATCAGAGAACTTTAGAGGGCTGCACATTGTTCAGAGCCAGATCCTGACCCGCCTGGCCTCAGAAGCCTTTAACTACACGGTTGGGAGGTCCCTTGGCTGATAGCTGGTTAGCGCGCGTTTGTGCAGGAGGGAACTTTTCGATCACTCCTCGGGGACCCAGGGCGCCCCTAGAGACGGCTCTAGGACACAGGACCTAGTGGAGGGAAACGGAGACGGTGGCAGTGGACGGTGGCGGCAGCAGCATCTCTGGATCGGTCGCTCTCCAGGCTCCTGGGCTGCGGGACTGAGTGATTCGGAGGAGCGCGGGTAGCGGTGGGGCGCTGGGGCCGCCCCTTTCCCGCAGGGGGCGGCGCAGGACTTCGAGTGGAGGCCGGGACGCGAGCGGTTCTGTCTGGAGGACGCGACCTCCCGGAGCCGCGGGGCGGCAGGACCTGGGAAACGGATCTCTGAAACGCTCGGGGCGCTGGCGGTGCGATCCCGGGCATCCTGATCGGTGGCCCCAGGCTCCGCCGCCCCAGCTGCGTCTCTCTCCTGGCCAGAAGTTTGCCACGCGCCGGCCAAGTTGGAGAGTCTGGAAGCTCCAGGAAGAAGCTCCCCTCTTCTGGCTCCTGCGGTTCCAGGCATGGCCGGGCCGAGGGCTTCACCCTACTTGTGCTGGTGGCTGATTCTCGGCAGCTGTCTTCTCGCCCAAGCCCAGGTAAGCGCGGTACCCGCGGCACCTGCTTCCGGAGCCTCCCGCGTTACCAAGACCCAGAAGGCGCACGCGGGCTCCCACGCTCACACATCCACACGCCCGCACCCGGCAGGGTTGACAGGCAGGTTAGTGGAGCTGCAAGGCGAGTGCTGTCCAGGGGCGCGCACTGTTGGGATCAGCATCTTGGCATCTGCAAACTAAGGGGGTATCTTTGAACAGCGGAGTTCTGCATCAGAATGCGCAGCTGGAAGGTGAAGGAACTTTTCTTTCTCCTAGACCATGGTACTCGTTTAAATAATCCAAATGAGTTTTGGCTGCTGGAAATTTACCATCGCTTTTGAGAACTTAAAACTTCTAGATCCGATTGTGCCACTGTCTGAAAGGATCACTAGCCCTGATACAGGATCACGTACCATTAAAGCAAAGAGACTAGGTAGAATAAAACTATAGTGTTAAATGTTAACAAGCAGCTGGATTTGTTCCTGTTAGGAGTAAGTGGTGGTTGTCATTTTCCTACTGTATTATTGTTTAGGGATTTGCTGAGTGATCTTTCACAACGGAGCCTCTTTAATGCACAAAGCACGATTCATCGGCACTTTTTTTCCCTTTTTGAGTCAAATCCAATGTAAGGTTTACAGCTTTTCAGATGAGCTAGAAAGAAATGCATGTGGTTGTGGGTGTTACGCAGTGTGAGACCTGTGAATTTAAACGGACTCAAGGTTATTTCTGTCCGATTCGGTAGAGGGCGCATTTGACCGTCAAATGAAGTCCCGAATTTTATTTAAAAAAATCTTTCGTTGTTAAAAAAGAAGGCGTTGAGGGATCAATGTATGTTCTGGTATTTTTTAAACTTAAAACTATATTCTTGAATTTCAAATGACTGGTTTAAATTTTAATTATTCTAAATGGTAGTTAAAAAATCGACCCATCATAGTCAAAATCACATAAAGTAAAACTTAGGAGTTTCTAGGAAATAAATGTCTTGGGATTTACTGGGATTTACCTATCATGAACAGGATATTTCATGTAAATTTAGTTTGTTAAAAATAAAAAAATTTGTGTGTCATACAATGATTAATAATATTAGCAAAGGCTGCTTAAAAGTAGGATACATTCAAAAGTCATCAAGTTAACAGAAGGAATATGAATTATGGAAAAGGTCCCCAAGGATTTGGTGATACATTTTCATTACAGCTATTTAAACTCTGGTGATCTCTAATGTACTACATTTCCTCTCATATTTGGAAAATATGCTTGAAACCACCACCTCTTAGTATAAGGGGAAAATGAATTCTAACCATTTATTTATTTCAGAGTTCTAGATCATTTCTGAGGAAATGGGGAGATATTACAATTAAATATATTAAGACATATTAAAACACTATGGAACCCATATAGAATATTCCCTTTCTTTTTGCTTTCAATAAAACAGACACTGAACATCTTGTAATAACTTTAGATAATTTTCTCAACTTTGATACTATTGACATTTTGGTCCATGCAATTCCTTGTTTTGGGGTTTGGCTTGTATATTGTAGGATATTTAGTAGTATCCTTGTCCTCTATCCACTAAATGCTAGTGGCATCTCTCCCTCACCACCCAGTGACAACCAGAAGTGTTTGTAGATGTTGCCAAATGTCCTTGGGTAGCAAGATCACTCTTGGTTGAGAATCATTACCTTACACTGATTGGTATTTAATTATGTTTATAGGTAAAGAATTGTATAAAATGGCAATTTGTGATAATGTTTCATTCATCAATTTTGGGGGCTTTAAACAAAACTTGCAGACATGTTTATACATTTTCTGAGCTTCAGTTTCTTCATCTTCAAAAGAGTCACATTGGACTAAGATTCTTTTAATTCTATAACTTTTGGTTTATTACATTAAGTTAGTCATTATTTGCTTTGAAATTCAATAGCGACCAAACACATTCTGTGTATTATCTACTCCAATATTTAGTTGCTGATTTTATTAACCCAAGTATGAGAGACAGGCATTTATGAAAATGTTTCAATTTGTTTTTTAAAAGCACCTAGTTATTAATGAATATTCTCCTAGCTTAAATTATAATGATAGAACACCAAAGGGTTCTCACCAAAGCAGAATGAATCTGTGTAGAATAAATACTTAGTATAAGAGACATCAGATCATATAACAAAATAGATGATAGACTAGTGCTCATCAATTGTTTGCAAGACCTCTGTGGGTTTTGGGTGGTAAAGATGCTGCCTTTGCCTCAATGCCCAGTTCAAAACCCAAGTCTTCATTCGTTGTGTGTCAGTACAGAGCCTAGCAATGCATTTCCTGAAGTCAAGTTATCGCATGGGAATGAGGACCATTATATAAATGTGCTTGGTACTTTCATTATTGTGCAAGTGGGTCCCTCTGGTAACAGACATTGAGATGGAGTTGGGTGCAAGAAGTTTCTTGGGGGAGGGGATAATGCCCATGAAAGATAAAAGAGTGAGGAAGCGGGATGAAGCAGGTACAGCTAGCAAACTGGGACAGTTTCAGCCACCAGTGGTGAGTCCTGGGGGTAAAGGTTGCCCATGGGGAGTCCCAGGTTATGAAAAATGGCCAGGTTCTAGTTCTTGTGCTCAGTCATCAGCTGGAGTTTGTTTAAAAGATCAGAGACTTAGCTCAAAAGCTGAGACACATGCTTTAAAGCACCTCAGCTGGAGGCTGTCAGGGAACTGCTCTCTTTACAGATGAATGAGTTGTTCTTTCTGGAAGAACCATCCCTTCTTGACTGCCTCCATTACAAAATTATCAAGAAAAAACCTTGGTTTTGCTGGGTTTGAGAGTGGGATGGTTGCTGCATGACTTGGTTGCCTACTGTGGCTCTGAGACAGCGTGAGTGTTGGGAAATGAATGCAAATCATCACTACTACTGGAAAAAAGCACCAGAAGCTCATGATGTAGAGTTGAAGTATGTGATTTTCTCATGGTACTTGGTGTGGGCAGATCCCAGTGGGCAGATTTTGGTTCCTAGTTCTTACTAATCTTTCCTGCATGGAGTCCCAGTGCTGCCATGAGCATTCTGGTGCAGGAGAAGGGGCATTGGACTGGAAATCCAGAAAGCTGCATTTAGATTCCTGCCCAGGTGATACCCAGCCTCCTCTTATGTGCAGCAAGGAGGGTGAGCTCTAATGACCTCTAGAAAGAAGATTCAGCATCTACTAGAAAGTTAAAAAAAAAATCTCTTACTGGGTAGAAAAAAAGGGCAATTCTTCATGCCATTTATTTACTTACCAAGTACCAAATGCTATACCAAGTACTTTATTCTCTTACTGGATTCTTGTAGAAGCTTTGTGAGGCATGTACTATAATTACTTATACTTTTAAAAATGAGATTACTGTGCTAAGAGACGTTAGTATACTCAACTCACATGCCTAACAGTAGTGTAGCCATGATTTATGCTCTTGGTTCTGTCTTCAGAGCCTAACCCCCCCCCATGTGTGCCCTTGCCGTGAGGTCAGTTTGGCACTGTTTAGCTTAAGTATGTATACACACATTCTATCACAGCAATACCCACCCCTGGGAATCTAGCCTTTGTAATTTCTCACACAGGCAATGATCATTGTGGCAATTCTATGATGTTAGAAAATTGGGCACAGTCTGAGTGTTTTAACAGTTTATTATGCAGCAATAAAAAGCAATGCATTAAATGTATGCAAACAAGCATGTTGAGATTGTAAGAACAAGATTAGATGTGACAGAGAAACAATGACATGTATAACACCATATCTATACCTTAAAATATATGCACACAAAACAGGAATACATGTTGTGTATACCCATATCAAAGATGTGTGTGTCTCACCTAAATGTCTGTAGAGAAGGAGGGGGATAGAGATAAAAGGGGGCAAATCAATCAACCAAATAAGCTTACACTCTGCACCTCTCTGAGTTTCTTGTGTTAATTGGAAAATGTGGTTATAGATGGAATTACCGACAGGTCATGACTGGTAGAATTAAGCATGAGGACAGTCACAGGACATGGGCATGTCCTCCATGGTTAGCTAAGCTGGGAGACCATCCTTAGCACAGTTAAATGGAAACGTGACTGCTGTCACTTTATTGTGCTTATTACTACCAGCACGGCTATAGCTGCACATCCCATACTTGGATTGTTCTTTTTCTTTCCTGTTGACAGCCAGACTGTTTCCATTTGTCCTCTAGTTACACAGCAGCATTCTCTTCCTGAAGGGGTGGACTTCTCAGTAGCTGCACTAATTGCCGGTAGTCTCTTCAGTCCCAGGAGCCCACAGGCAGTGGGATCAAAGGGAGCCAGATGTGGTTTTTTTCTTGGCAGTGCACACAAAGTAGACTTCATTTCTCCAGAATGTCCTCAATTCTTTGTGAGTAAAAATACGACTTTCCAACCAACATCCATGCATTCTGTGTATTTTCCATCTGGCCTCAGTTATCATCTGCCAGAACACATCCGTGTCCTTTTTTCTTCCCTGTGTTTTTTTTTTTTGTCTTTCTCTGAGCTATTCTTTAATTTTTTTTATATATACTGGGGATCAAATCCAGGGGTGCCTAACCACTTAGCCACATCTCCAGTCCTTTTTATTTTTTATTTAGAGACAGGGTTGTGCTAAATTGCTAAGGTCCTTGCTAAGTTGCTGAAGCTGGCTTTGAACTTGTGATCCTCTTGCCTCCAGACTGCTGGGATTACAGGCCTGCACCACTGCACCTGGCTTATTCTTTAAAATTTGTAATGCCTGTGTGATTTTAGAAAGTGCATTTCATCTCTTTACTCTTATTTCCTCCACTGTGAAACAGAGGCAATAAAAGCATCTGCCTATAAAATCTAAGAGTCTTGAATTTAAAAATATATACGAACAAGCAGAAGCCTTAAGCTTTTTGAGAATTAATATGCCAGTCCTTTCCTCTTTTCTTCCCCTAGCAGATTAGTCAAGATTTCATTTTAATTAGGTGATTCTTTAGAGAGTATTTCTAAATCTGATTGGGAGCTGCTGAAAGTTTTCAA